GGCAGGGAAACAGACATTGATGTGAGAGAGACATCGATTGGTTGCCTCATGCACACACCCTGACCAGGGTGAAGGATCGAGCCTGCAACCCAGGTACGTGCCCTTGGCCAGAATCGAACCTGGGAGCCTTCAGTTCCCGGGCCGACCTCTTAACCACTGAGCCAAACCAGCTAGGGCTGCCTTATATCTTTTGATTATGTTAGTGTAACCTAAAAGTTAATGTTCCTGGTGGTTTCCAAGAGCTATGAAGAGAATGAGTGGTGAATACAGGGTTTTGTTTGGGGTGATGAAAATATTTTGGAACTTGTATAAGTGGTGGTTGCATAACATTGTGAATTTACTAAATTACACTTAATTTTACTTTAAAATGGTTAGTTCTATGTTAAGTGAATTTCACCTTGATTTTAAAAAGGCCTTAGAGCTCGGCTGGCGTGGCTCAGTGGTTGAGCGCCCACCCATGAACCAAGAAGTCAGGGTTCGATTCCAGGTCAGGACACTGCCCGGGTTGTAGGCTCGATCCCCAGCAGGGGTGTGCAGGAGGCAGCCGATGAATGACTCTCTCTCATCATTGATGTTTCTGTCTCTCTTTCACTATCCCTTCCTCTCTCTGAAATCAGTAAATCAATAAATAATTAAACTAAGTAAAAGGCCTTATAGTGAACATGTAGACCAAATTATTCAATCCTGGATTAAGGAAAAGGATTATTTCTCCTAGGGGTGCGTTTGGGTGTATTTCTCCAAAGACTCACAGCTTAAAAATTCTTTTTTAATTAAGATTTTAACAGGGGGAAGAGGGTATGAGGGGTAAATGTTAATGGAAAAAAATAAAGGGAAAAATAGATTTTAATATGTTTTTTTTTAAAAGAGAAAGGAAAGTAATATTCCTGCTTGCATTGATTTTATTCCTTTATAGTACTTACACTAAGTCAGCAAACATTAATGGCTGCATACTCTATTCCTGGCCCTTCGCTAGGTGTTAGGGACATAAACATGAACCACACATAGTTTCTGTCCTCAAGATATATTTGTAGCCCATTAATATAATGTCATAAGTATAGTAATAGAGGTCTATGCAGAGGGATGGTATTTCCCTTTTCCTAAAGGGAAAGCTAAGTGGTAATTTAGTTCTTAGGGATGAACAACTGTTTGCCAGGGCAGTAGAAGTATTCAGAGAGCACAACCCGTACAAAGGCGCAGAGGCATGAACGTACTACACAGGCTTTGGGAGTTGCAGGGAGTTTAGTGAGACTGGAGTGGAGTGTGCATATATGCAAAGGTGTGCAAAGCAGGGCTGGGAAGGTAGGTAGGGCTTTTCATAGTTGGGCTTTCTAAGCCAGGTTAAGGAGCCCAGGCTTAATCATTTCCACTATTTCTCAACATTGGATGCAACTTGGGAGCTTTGAAAAACACACAAATAGATTGGTCCCTTCCCCAGAGATTTCTGATTTAATTGATTTGGGGAACTACCTAGCATCAGGATTTTTAAATACTCCCTAGGCAAGCACATAAGGTTGACAACCACTGCAATAGGCGATGGAGAGACACTAAAGAGGTTTTAGTTTTAAGTGGATAATAACAAAATCTGCTTATTTCAGAGCAGCAGTTTCCTGACTTTCCCAAGGATAAGGGTTATCTGAGACACCTGTTAGCAATATGGATTCTTAGGCCCCACCCTTGACCAGTGGAATGATAATCACCTAGGGAAGGGCCTAGAAATTTGTTTTTGACCTCAGTTCCAACCCTCAAGCCCTTGATCTGGCTGTGCTGCTTAGTTTACAGATTGTTAATCTTGTTAAAAATGCAGTCTTTTTCAGAAGATCGGGGATTGGGCCTGAAGTTCTACTTTTTGAACAAGAGCCCGCATAATGCCAGTGCTTCTAGTCAGAAGAAGATACTTTGAATAGCAAGGTTAAGACATCTGGAAGTTGTGCAGAGGACCAGTTAGAGGATAGTTAGACTAATATGAAAGACTAATAAGGTTAGTGATTTTTAACTTGGGGTAATTTCTCCCCCTTACAGACATTTGGGAATGACTATAGAGACATTTTTGCATTTTTTAATGTCACAGCTGGGTGGAGCAGGGTGAGGGGTGGTGCTACTGGTGGTTTCGAGTGGGTAGAAGCCAGGGATGGTGCTAAACATGTTAGTACAATGCACAGTACAGCCCCTACAACAAAGAATTATCCAGCCCAAGACGTTACTTCTGCCAATCCCTGAATTAAGTAAACACTTAGGCAAGAAGAGCTGTACACTTTAAGATAGATACTGGTGGTGGGGGCAAAACAAGAGCCACAGAGGGTCATCTAACTCTGGGCTTGTATGGGGTCCCGATCAGGGATGGCTTCACAAGGAAGCCAGAAACGACTTTCCAGAAAGGACTAATAGATTCCAGATTGGGTAACTAATACACAAGTGAGATTATTTGACATCAATGACAGACCCTTAATATGAGAAGAAAATACTCCTGAGGTTTCAGAGTAAATATACTACATCTAGGCAGTGGTCCCATCAAATTGCTCAATGGTAAGAATCACCTTTGAGGGTTTATTAACCAAAGAGATTCAATAGTGTGGCACACGAACAGTTTTGTTAAG